TCTTAGGTACTAGCTCCACTGAACTTTCGGAATTATCCGTTACACTTTTTTAACATTCTTATAATATTTCTAATGCGAAGGAACCCTTTCAAGGGTAAATTCTGTTGGGTGGCAACAAAGTCACGTGAAAATCTTGCGTCTTTTTGACATGTTAGGCAAATTTCCACGTTTTTTCGTTTTTGCACATTCGAAGCATTTCTCTTTGCTTCCAGTCTTTTCAAATTCGTTTCGTAGATCGTAACTGAAAATGTTCAGCATGGTGTAAACAAGGCTTTATTTTATTTCAATTAGTTAGACACTCGCACAGTTATAAAAGAGAACCAAGCAAAATTAAATTCAGAAAAAAATTGATACTCAGCGCAGATTCTCTGGCCTTCTTTATTTAATATTGCAGAAAGACCATACGTCAAAATTCCTTTGCACTGCTTTGACTTAACTTTCTTTGTTTGAATACAGAACAAGTCTTGATCCAATTTGAAACTAAACATTATAAAAGACCTCTGTCAACATTTTTCCGTCGCCGAGAAATTTTAAACAAACATTGCACGAAATTTTTAATCTTTATGTTGCTATAGCTACCTAACATCTTTCATTAGTTTGGCCTTTTTCGTTTGTCTGTGGAAAAAATGACCTCGAATCTTTAAACAAATTCTTGGGTGTCAAAACGCCATCAAACTTCTTCAAACATGATTGGTTCTGCCAACAAGTTCGACAAAAGCCTTGAAACTCCATCCAATGTTTGATGCCCCATCTGGCAACTTTAAACTCCTTGTAGCAAACTGTGGCCAAACGCCTTCAAACTGCATTCAACATGTTTAATGCCCCATCCCACAACATCTGACACACAATCAAACAAGTTGGACAAACACCTTCAAACTCCATCTTACATGTCTGATACCCCATGTGACAACTTAAAATTCCTTGTAACAAGATGGCCAAATGCCTTCAAACTACATCAAACCCCATCCCACAACATCTGAAACCATCAAACAAGTTGGCCAAACACCGTCGAACTCCATCCTACATGTTTGATGACCCATTTAACAACATCTAACCAGATGGTTTTTAAAAACATCTTCTGAGGACTATTTCTCGTTKTCAACCATTCCCAGGAGATTCACAAGATAAAAGACGGCGGCCATGTTGGAGGAATGAAAAATAGATACTAATGAGAAATCCTTTGTTGAAGTTCGTACAAGATGGCCGCTGTGACGTATACTGAAAACGAAGAATACATCCAAAATGTTTTAAGGCCAATCCAACACATCAGATTATTGTTTTG